TTCTCCTACGGTGGATGGTTGCGAAATCCTGCAGCACCAAAAGGATGGTTGAAAAGCTACAAACAATCGGATGTTTACCAGCTATCAACTGGTGCAGAGTTCCTGCAGGAAGATGCTATCAGCCTGAGCAGCGGCATCAGCGCCTGTGAGTGACTCGCTGAAGTTTACCAAACACCGGGTGCAAGCTGAGTTCCGATGGAACTACCCTAATTGTTGTTGGGAGGTTTTGGGAATTTTAGAGGGATATCATGGGATACATATATATATGTAGGCAATAATGAATGATACCCACTGGCAAACATGGCTAGCCGGGAAATGTTCGAACAAAATAGAGGTTTCTAGCTGGAAATATCAACGCTGTTCCAGCAAGCCACATTTGATGAGAAGGTAAGCTGTAGGAATCAGGGGCCCCAACCGGCACTGGTGAATAGACCGAGAGTGAGGACTTCACCGATCGGGCCAATCGGGGTGTAAGTTATAACCATCAACGATGGGCTGTTGTGGGGATATCCCACAAAAAAAAACAGGCGAAACCACGGCAGGGTTGCAACTGGATGGTTCGTCCCAGGACTCTCCCAACGCAGGGTGCAGGAGGATCCTGTTGCGGGATGTTGGAGAGGACTTGAAACATCCGAAATGACAATCTTCTGGGGAATATGAGTGTTTTCTCCAGGTGCAACTAACTTTGAGCTAACTCTACAGTAACTTTGTAACTTTGAGCGAATCTTGGGGTAACTGTACTTGAAATCCCACTTTAAAACCAATTGACACGTATCCATCTCCAGATTCTACGAGGCAGGGCTGCTTGTGGCAGCTGGCGCACCACTTCTGGTCCCGCGGATGGACAGATGCTGCGACCTTTGGCGATGTGGTCAGCGCCTGCGAAAAGGTAGGGGTTGAGGCTACCCTATTTTCAGAGAAACCCATATTTCTGGTTTTAATGGTGATTTAATAGTGATTAATGGTGATTTGTGATTAATGGTGATTTAATAGTGATTAATGGTGATTTAATAGTGATTAATCGTGATTTCATGGTGATTAATGGTGATTGATGGTGATTTAATAGTGATTAATGGTGATTTAATAGTGATCAATGGTGATTTAATGGTGATTGATGGTAATTTAATAGTGATTAATGGTGATTGAATAGTGATTAATGGTGATTTAATAGTGATTAATGGTGATTTAATAGTGATTTAATGCTATTTAATGGTATGTAATGATATGAGGGTTGAGGCTACCATCTGTTTTTCTCATTCATAAAGCCATTGAATTGTATGCAATGGTCACCTGATTAGTTACTTAATTTATGGTGTTGTTTTGTTGGTTTGCAATAATGGTTATTTAAGTACGATCACCAGAATTATCGAGAACGGCATACCTCAAATCCAAGTCATGGCCATAATGTCTCGTATATTTAGGTAGAGATCTAATGATATTGAAGGATAGCGATGATGATATGTCAACGATATGTTGGGTATGGGTCAATACCTGAAATAGCCCTAAAGTTGGATTGTTCTTCACATGGCCAAAAAAAACACATGTGTTTTCTGTGATATGAACTGAACTACTTGGCAGAAGGGCTTTGACCTATCGGTCCCGGGATTCCATGGCTGTGATTTGAGAATATGTAGGTTTCCTGAAAGGGGGATATCCCCAAGACCATAGCTTTCAATACAAAAATGATCGAATGGCTTGGATGAATTGGGGGTAACCCCCATGACTTTGGGGAAACCTCAATATCCCACAGGATGGGGCACCCCAGTGACATGTTTGTTGGTTTATAACCCCATCTAAATATAGTGATTGTGCGCATCATACACTATTGAAACTATTGTTATTATACTTATGTTCACCAACTTAGCGTTCACGAACTGGGGCCCCATCCTGCAGGGGTATCTGGGTTTTTGTCATCGGTTTTTCTCCAGTTCCAGTTCTGGGATGCAATTGCACAGCGCAGGAAGAGACTCCATTGGTGTCGCGCGCTGGCCTCACACAATGACAGGGCGCTGTGCCGGGAGCGTTGCGATAGGTTGCCGTAGCATGTCTCAGGTGATTTAACGGTTTGCGAACTGGTGATGTTCACCATTTCTGATAAGTAAATACGGCTAAATCATCCATAAGATCATTTTCCATAGCTGTGTTAAACAACCAGAGGGCATCTGTAGATGATAACTTCACTCGAAAAAAATGTGTCTTGTGCCTATTGGACTTTGAGAGTGCATACACCAATGCCAGTCATGGACAGCCATTGAATATGCACTTTTTTTGATTAAAATCCTTGCGACTTCAGGAGATTTTCAGGTGTTTCATGCTGGAATTCGTCAACGTAACTCTTGAATTTCCACACGCGGCTTCCAGTTAGGCTTTTGGGGATATGTGTGGATTACTATCTCCCAGGGTGCCCTGAAAAGTACAAGAAATCGCACCTGATGTGTACAAGTTTCGGCTTCAAAAACAAAAACTCGTGCCAATTTCAGTGACCATGGTACTGAGCAAATCTTAATGGGTTTTACCCGGGAAGACTGGTCCAACTGCCACCTGAGCCCACTGGAAGCCCACTGGAATCACACCGTGGCTCGGTGGGCGTGCGTCGCCACGGTGCGAAAAAACGAAGAAACGCTGCGTGGGCCGGGGCAGGTGGTGACAAAGAAATCGGAACTTAGCTGGAGTGGACTAATGTACATTATGTATATATGTATATTTGGGACACATATAGCTATTCAGACAAACTGCCAAACTGTATGTGTATAGCATATATCCATGTATATGTGCATATGCATCAGATATAAAGCTAGGGAAATATGTGTATATATATATATATACGTGTAGGCTGATTTTATTGCCTTGACAGATTACGGAACTCGAGCTGCTGGTCTCGGTGACCAAGGGAATGGGGAATAACATACAGGGTGCCATCGTTGGGTGAGTTGAACTATATGCCAGTAATTGGTTCATCACATCTTGGACATCAAGTTTTTTAATTCTACAGCCCATTGAAAATCCCATTTTTGCACCCATATATATATATTATGCATTTCATATCATATATATATATTTATTTACAACCTATTCAAACTGGCCGAAGTGGCACAAGCGACTGGCTCTGGCAACGACTATTCTCAGGTGCTCTCACATTGGGCATCTCTGGAGGTCTCAGCGCTACTGGTCAGACCAGGCGGAAAAGCAACAATTCGATGTGGAAAATCCCAGCGTTTCTGTTGATCATTTTCCGGAAACCATTGGTTTTCCACATCTAAGCCACATCGATGTTAGTTTACCCTAGGGTAATAGTTCATTTCTTAAAATTCATGTCGAAATGGACTTGTAATTTGGGATTTAGAGTTCGGTTTTATGGATGGTAGTTTGAGATGTGTTCGAAATTCTTTCGGTGAGTCGAAGGTGGATGGACATATGTATATATATATAGATATAGATATAGATATAGATAGATAGACGGATAGATAGATCGATCGATAGATAGATATACACACACAGACACACATACACCGCAAAAAATGTTTTTTTACGCTTATATACCCCAATTTATGACAATGTTAAGTCGAAAATGATGATAAAACTATGGGATGTTGAGAGTGCATACATTTAAGACCGGTCGATGTTTGTCTCTTTGCCAGCAACCAGACGCAGAGCTTCATGATATGCCGACAAGAAAGACTGTTCAACCGCACGCTGGATTTTGTTAGTCACTAGTAGGATATCACAACCGTAATTTCATATATATATATATGTAGATATATATGTAGATATATACCCTCTGGTAAATAAACATAGACCCTGAAAATCACCAATTTTTAATGGAAACTAGTCTTCCAACCCCTATCTGCCAGGGTCTATGTTAATTTACCAGAGGGTATATATATATGTAGATATATATGTAGATATATTATGTAGATATATTATGTAGATATATAGAATTTGCATACATGCATCATCAGATTGTATCTCTATCCACCATCTCCCTGGAACAACGCACCCTCAAATCATCACAAAATCCTCACAAAATAGGTCTACGAGATCGACATCAACGAAGTGCTGCGCAACAGGCAGGGGCTAAAACTGGTTTTGTTCCGTGACATGATCATCATTATACACTCCATTCTCATGGGGAAGATGAAGAATCATTAACACAATCATTGAAGATCATTAAATACTATTTATATATTCAAGATCATTAGATATCATTAAATACTATTTGACACTAACACGATAGCTTAACAGATATTAATACCCCATTAACGATCATTAGATCTACCCGACGACTCACAGCGCGCAGGTTGCGTGTGGCCTCTGTATGGATGGACGAATACAACACGAGCCTCGGCACCGATACCGGTGGTGCTGCTGTTGGTGGATATTTTTTTAGGGACAACCATAGGAAAACCATAGGAAAATGGAGGTTTACTCTCTGGTAATTTAAAATAGCTATTGAAAGTAGCCCATTTATAATTGATTTACCTATTCAAAATGATGAGTTTCTATAGCTATGTTAGTTTACCAGAGGGTAGAATATGTACAAGGACTTTAATCAGGAAAAATCTTGGAAATTGATAGATGATGGTTGGTTGGCGTTTGTTTCGAGGGTTGGACTATCCAATATATTTGGGATTATCATCATCCGCTATGGGGATTCCTTTAAGCAAGTATAATAGAAGGACGTGTCTATGATTCTATGAGGGTGCATTTTGTGAATTTTCCCCTGGTATAAATATTCTACGTCATATACCTTCATATATCATCGTACATCTTCGCATATCATCTAAGACACCATGATTGCTAAATATTGAAGATATATGATGGCAGATGATAGTTGGTACTGTTGCTACTACTAGTTATATAGATGGTACGATATCTAATCCCTTCCCCCTAATATTAAACGGCCCCAAGAAACCATCCTAAAAAGGAGGGATATGTAGGGAATAAAAAGCCAATGTTGTTGACCATAGAATGGGGGTGTTTCATATTAGGACGATGGGAATTCCATCTAGACACTAGATCTCTGTTTGATATATCATATACTACTATTTGATGAATGATAATTGAATGATATACACAACATATCACCACCACCACCATCATCATCATCATCCTCATCCTCATCATTTTCTGGTTGATGAAAAATATCACAAAAATATGAATGATTATTATTATATGTATATATACATATACATATACATATACATATACATATATTAATATATATATATTATAATATACATATACATATTTAATAAATGGTATATACGGTACTTGATGGGTACCGCCGCGTCGCAGTTTGGTGCAACTGGCGTCACCTGGGCTCTTGGATGGTCGCAGCGTTGGAGATGTGACTCGACAACGGCGGTAACGCAACCGGCAACCTGGGCTGGGCGGTTTCCAACCATCAAAAATGGTGGTTTGACCATGGGAAAATGGTGATGTTCCCACAAAAATCAGGGTTTGACCAGGAGGATGGGAGATTTTTTGTTATGAAACAAGTGGTGATTTAACCCAGAGTCTATAGAGTCAAGCACCCAAAATTCAATCTGATATGGGTATATCAGCACGGGTAGAGGAAAGCATCCAGCAAAAAAATCGAACGTAACCAAAAATTGAGGGTATCATGGGTCTGGGTCACCAGTGAATTCGTTGGTGGTTTCAAATGTTGCCGACGTTGTCCATCCCAAAAATGGCAAGCTGATCCAAAAGCATTGACCGAGAACAAGTATTGGTTATAGTTGCAGGCATGGACCTTGGCCAAGAAAATCCTTGGATACAGCTATCATTAGGCAACGTTTATCCATATTGTGGGATCTAAGGACCTATCTGGGACGGTCCGTTGCCCAGTACGGCGATCAGATAGACACTCATAGTTGAATCTAGTTTGTGAATTGGATTATTGTGATTAAACTATGGTTTATATAGATTTATACTATAATTTGTACATAGTGATTAATCTGATTAATCTCTGTTTTAATATAGATATGCACCATTGATCTGATCCCCATCACCTAGTGTGATCTCAGTTTCGCAAGCGCGGTCAGCATCCACTCGAAAACTGGCGTTTGTCCGACAAGGTCACAACTAATTAAGGAATGCCAATCCTGAGAAATCTTAAATTTACCTATCTGGAAGTTTCCATAAATGGGAGAACCCCTAAGTCATCCGCTTTTATAGTATTTTCCCTTATATAAACCATCCATTTTGGGGTTTCCTCATTTTAAGAAACCTCCATCTAGGCTCTTTTTCTGAAGGATTTTTTCTGAAGGAACCTGTTACACTAGCCATGGAGCAAAGCCAGGTTAGTGCTCGAAAAGCTCTGCGTGAGAGGTGCATACCAGTCCTGGTGGTGACAAGCATCTTCTGGGGATGGCTTAAAAACTACCAACCAGTAGTTTTTCTTGATGTATAATAATGGGTAAAATATGGTAAAATGGAATTGATCTGCTATTCATTACATTCATGTGGGATACATCCGTATGGTCCATACCCATTGCTCTATCCCATTCTATGCCCATAGTGGTTCTTTGGCAACCCCATTAAAATGGACAAACCTAGATATCTTGGGACGCATTAGTATATCCCCTTTGAATCCCCATGATGTCCTTATTCTCATAATAATTGTAAGTATGGAAATAGTGGCCAAGATCATCATTGTTGCAATTCTTGTCTTTTGCTATGATATCCCCATTACCATTAATCATTATTATCTAAGATATTAGCCAATCGAGATGCTTAGGGCTTCAATGGTGCTTCAATAGGGATATCTTAATGCCCCACAGCCAATCCCCGGCAGATGGGCCATTTCGGGTCCCGAAACTGCAGGTGCTGTACCATATATATAAAGCTATATCTTGGGGGTATATCCCCTTCCATAGGCCTCATGTCCTTATACCCTCTAGCAAACATACAAAAAGCTATTGAAAATGGCAATTTATAGTGGATTTACCCATTAAAAATGGTGGATCTTTCCATAGTTTTTTGTATGTTTACCAGGGGGTATATGGTAGGTACCTCCAATAAATCGCGCCTCAAATGTACATTGAATGTCTGGCAGATTGGGCTGCAAGAGCTTCGACTGGTACATGGACAACGTGGCCACTGAGGCGCCGTGTCTTGCGGCAGTTTTTGGGATGGGTGGAAAGTCAAAAAAAAACGCTGGAAATAGTAGTTCAATAGATTGAGCTAAGGTCAAACTGGAAAAACTATGTCAAAACTATGCAAACCTTTAATTTCTTATTTTTCTTTGCCATCGGAATAGAGGAAGCTAACCAGCTCAAAAATTGAGCTTTGCAGGAGAGAGGCTCTGAACAATCTTCCCAAGTTTGGATCTCCAACTAATTTCATCTACGCATCTGTAAGATTTGCTGTATACTTCGGTGTCGCTCGCTACATGTCGCTACTAAGAACCCCCGCTGCCAGCGCCTTTCACCACTCTTTCGCGCGTCAGATCTATGCTCCGCGTTTGTCACCCGTGGATGCGGGCAGAGGCGACGGCATCGAATCATGATCTGGGACAATTATTTGGATCAATAACTGGTTGGTGGTTTGGAACCATGGAATTTTATGATTTTCCATATATTGGGAAGAATCATCCCAACTGACGAACTCATATTTTTCAGAGGGGTAGGTCAACCACCAACCAGTGTTGATATATATGGGCGACCCCAAAAAAGATAGAAATTGTGTTTCCAGTACGATGTAGATGATCATTTGCGCTTAATTTCAAAACAATGTGTCTATCTTTTTGGGGTTACTATAATGGTAGGATAGTGTGAGAACAGTGGGAGAATGATCGGACATAATGTATGTGTATATATATATACATATGTATGTGGTATGCATGCATATTATATCCAAAATCCACACATCATCGAACATCTGGCATTGTCATGGGAATAAACGCAGTGGAATTAGCCAACCATTGTGTATGGGAATATGATGGAAAAGGTCGTGCCCCTATAGCTAGATGGGGTTATAAACCAGCTTAAAACTAGGGGGGCATCACCTTGTAATACCCAATATATCCCAATATAGCAAATCATCGCGAGGACCATAGGGATGCGTCTTCCATTTGAGTCTTCCATCTGCTGTTTGATGAATTGATCCATGGCCATGTATTTTTCTCCACAACTGACAATATCATGAAAATGCCTTTAATAGTATAATAGTGTGGCCACCATACTATTGATGACATATTTCATATTAATGGTGGTCATTTAGTAGTTACCACACATTGGTGACATAATAACAACCATGAATGACATAAACTTCACGTCATATTTCACCACTGTGGCATTATTTGAACCATATCCGCGTTCGGTTTGGGCTTACCACATCCGAGGTGGATCGAATCGGGATAGCTCCCAGGTCATCAAATCCATCGAATCCATCGAATCAAACTCTCTGATAAACATTTTGAAAATGATCGAGGATTAGAATAGGGATATGTTCAGGGATAAGACAAGATACCCTCTGGTAAACGTTTACAGTAAAAACTATGGAAAATCCCCGTATGTTTAATGTTGGGTAAATCAACGAACTAAATGACTAAAAACTGTCCAGGTCGCTCTGTAACAGACCAGAGGCTCCCCAATATCAAAGTCGGTGTCACCTCCAAGCTCCAGGTAGCCTCCGAAGTCCGGCGATCCAAGTTTCAGCCATTTTTTGGGCGTTCAAAGGATGGTAAGTATTAAGGCATAAACAAACCATTAAACTGCGATGAGAATAGATAGAACAGTCAGCCTTGAAAAACATGATGAATTATCAATGATTCTGACTATATTCAGAATATTCTCAGGAAGCTATTATATGCTATTATATTATAAGGCTATTGGATGGTGATGAATAGTCAGTATCCCCAATGATGCGTTTTAAAGATATGGGTTTTCCCCCATCATATTCCATTGAAAAAAATGACAGAGTGAATGCCAGTGAACTTCGGCTTCAAAGAGCATGCTTTCACCCAGCAGTCACTGGAGTGATGGTTCGGAAGGCTGTCCCAGAATCGCCTTACAATTTGGGAGTTCATCGAGAATCATGTCATTTGTGCAGCTCTAAATTTCAATCCTGGGTGTCTTTTGAATCCTTGGATAATATCCTTAGCACTGCTCATGGCAGCGCGACTCGTGGGTTTGAATGTTGAGCGGGCATGAGTGGCCACTATCAATGATTTTGCAGCATCAGTGAAGCCAAAGTTCTGTCTTGTTTCGGGGTCATGTTGAATACAGTTTGTCAATGGACATTTGCACATGTCGAATCTAGTCTGGAAACGGCCAGGAGTTTGAATGGCTGACCTTCTGCTCCTTCCTAGTGGAATATCAAGCTTACTGGTTTTGCTTTCCCCATTTCCAGATGATGATCCAACAGCCATCGAGGTCTGAACATGCAGGCCTGCGTGGATACCAAGATGCAGGACGCTCGGATGAAATTCGCGGTCGCCACCTGGCTCAGCCATGGGCCAATCAACGAACTAAATGGCCATGTTCAATATCTATGTAACAAATTACCAGAGGGTAAACATTAAGGACGTGAAGAGGACATAAAAAAGACATGGGCGCATCTGCTTTTGAGACATCCCCCTTGCAGCAAGATTGCAGGATATGGTGGGTGCCCGTGTGGGAGCATCACCCTGCAAGAATCAGTTCGGCAACCAGGAGACGACTTTGGGCTGTCTCCTAATCATTTCACCTGTTTCGCAGTTCATCTTCCAATCATGTTCCAATCATATTCCATCCAAAGTTGAGATGATATGATATGTGTATCTCATATTGGCTCATTACTTCACTGAAAATCGTTGCTTCACAGAATCGTCCAGGAGGTGGAAATCCAGTCCACTGGGAGCATCAGGTTGGGGAAATCCTCGTTTTTTCCCAGCAATCCAGGTTCGATTAGCTTGGAAAACCCCTGTAAATGTCGTTTTTTTTGGGAAAATCATCTAGCGAAATGAGGAAAATGCCAGTGCCATGATTCGCAGAGGGCAATCTGGTGAAGTTTTTGAGGTGCGGCTGGTGCTGATTGGTACCATTCGCACCCAACCATCCAAAACATCACGAAAGCCATTAAAATACTGGGTTCATTCATGTCCATAGTGGAAAATCTTTGGATTTTCAGTTGACCATGTTGCCCTCGTTGTTGCCCTCGTTGTTGCCGTTGTTGCCTCGGGGATTTCTGATGTCAGGCTGCCTCTCACCGGCTTTTGTTTGGGACTCTCCAAGGCAGCCTGGACGGCCTGGTTTATGGCAGCCTTGTACATGTTTTATAACGTTACAACATGATTAATGTGGATTATAACTATGATTACCATATAATTACATAATTAATGTATATATTACTATAATTACTATGGATTATAACATATATTACCATAATTATCCATAATTAATGTGGAAAGAATCCAATGAGGCTATCGTTGGTCCAGTCAGAGGTGATTTGACCACCATTTGTAGATCGTTTTCCTGGGAAAACCAGTCAGCTTTTCCACCACATCTTTCTGTCAACGTTTACCCTGGGCTAAGCCAATTGGATATCTCAACGGATTGGTTTTGTTGGGAAAATCTACAGGAAACCATGGTTTTTACCATTAAATATAGGGGGTTCCGGTTAAAATGTTCCCATCATCCAATTCTGTGAATATCGATGTTTCAAAGTCACCTCAGAGCCTCAGTATCCTCAGTGCGCTGGCAGGACTGTCCAAAGAAGCCAATGGAATATGGAGAGGAGCAATGAAGCCACGGCAATCGAAACTTCCCCAGTTGGTTCTCCGTTTGAAAATATCGAGGATCCCTACAATGTGGGGCCCCCCAGTGATGTTTGTTGGTTTATAAACCCCATTAACTATAGTTATAAGTACCATAAACCATAGTTATTGGAGTTATTGGCACCAACTTAGCTATCTAAGGGGGGCCCCACATTGTAACGAAAACTGTTCTTTGTATATTTTTTTTATCACCATTAGCCCCATTGAATGGCCATGTAAAAAGGCTATCCCCTAGTTTCAAACACACAAAAATATCGATGGCTCATGCTGTTTTTTAAGGTTGCAATGTTTCATCTTCGAACGGGTAATCGTCTCAGTTTGAACCTCGCTCTCGATTCGCGGCACGTCATGTGCAGGAACACCTTCGATGTCCCCTTTTGGAAGTTCTCATCTTCAAAGTTTCAAGAAGTCTTGCGCAACGCTACTCTCATTTATAGAGGTGCATTTGTTTTTTTATAATAATCGATCTACATATATATATATATATCATTACCTGACAATAAACTGACAGTTCGAAACAAATCACCCTGGGGGCACATAGTGTTGAAAATCCTTTGGTTTTCCCATGGTTTTTGCTTTTGGGACCAGGAGATTCCCACATGCCATGCAGTCCTCGCTGACTGCCGAGGTGCTGCACTACTTTTCCGGGGTGTAGCTCTGATAAATTTGGAAAATCTGTCCATCTGTCCATCCATCCATCCATCTATCTATCTATGTCCATCTACACTGAATGATGGTTTCATTGGAACATGGCTTGAATGGGCAATAGCATGCAATAGCGACCTTACTGGCCGAGGTCACCACAAATGATGGTTGATGCAAGGAATCATCCCAAAATCCCAAGATGATGATGGGGAGTTTGATGATATTCAGGATGACCCAAGACATAATTTTTAAAAAAAAAAAAAACATAAAATCCGAAATCCCAAATGATGATTATTTCATTATTTCTCACTTGAAACTTTCATGTCTTGGTTTAGTTCTTTTTGTGGAAGCGATCCTGAGTAAGACTGTAGATGTTCAACAAAATGACTTGTAAGTTTTATAAATGTGTTACAACTGATCCTTAGCATCCCAGATGTGCAATTTGCCCAGATTGTTTGGTGGGAAAACGCCTCCACCTTTGGATCCTTCACTAGGCAAAGACGCTGCGGTGTGGACGTGGGGGCCCAATGGCAATACTCCAATCAGGTGAATGGGGCACGTATTAATAAACACTTCAAATGTTGCTCTGGTTGGTGGTTTGGAACATTTTTTATACGTCCCATTGATATTTTTCAAGATGGGCACATTGCACCACCAACCACTACTTCATCTCATGCACTTTCTGGTGAATTTAAGAATTCTACTAACAGTCGACACATCAAATATGTCACCCTCTTTCCACTGATGTGTTGTGTCCAAGTAAGTCCATGGCGACTGGAAGCCACAAATCAGAGACAGTGCCAAAAAAGTTTGCCGTGAAATGAATGGTCCACTCTTTTTTCAGCAATCCAAAGCGTTTATTTGTAGGACCAGAGCCGTTTGAAATCACTTCTTATCAAGTGTCATCGAGATCTCTTTAGGTCCCACCCAGTGGGAATTGCTGGGCGTCGTTGAAAATGATGGACCCCCATTTTAAAGGCTTGATACCAAAAACAATATGCTGAAGTGTGAATCCACTCAAGTATTGGGCTCAACGGGGGGGGGGGCCATACTACTATCATTATAGGCTCTAAGCCGTCACTGTGTAAGGCATGATGCTAAGGAGAGAATGCTCTCCGGGCAATGGTAAATTTGGTAAATCGGTAAATTGGTAAATTTCGCCGCTTTTCGGGCCATGGTAAATTTGGTAAATCGGTAAAGTGGTAAATTTTGCTGCGTCCGGGCAAAGGTATATTCGGTAAATCGGTAAATCTGTAAACTTTAACCTCGTAGTATCATGATACAACAACTTTACGAATTTAACGTTTCACGGTTTTACCGCCTCTTCCTCCTCACGCTGTATAGTACATTGGTACATTACGCCTTTACGCATTTACCATTTTACGGCTTTACCGTCTTCTCCTGTTCACGCTGTCCGCGAAATAACATACACTTACCAATTTACGGTTTTACGGGTTTACGGTAAATTTTGCAAATTTACCAAATTTACCGTTTTACGCTCCGAAAGCGGCATGCTCAGATTGCAAATTTACGCATTTACCGTTTTACGGTTTTACCGTTTTACAGCGCGCCTTGGCAAAAGACGTGCCTTAGACCCGCGCCTTGCGCACAGACACCATCATAGGCTGATTCCAAAGTTTCACAGCCAAAATTCCACCATGAACCATTAAATATCATTAATTGTGTGTGGCTTCCAGTCGCCTTCAAATATGTTTATTTTTAATGGGGTAATCATGTAATCATCATCCCAGAATCCTGGTTCCAACAAATGCTGCCATCCCCAGGTGGTCGATAGCTGTGGCCTCACGGAAGGGCATAGGTCAAGTGATGATCCCAACAAGCGAGATGTGCTTGGAGGCACTGACTTGGGACCATGGGATGTTCACTGGGACTTGGGAATGGGATATTTTGAGAGCCAAATCATGGTTGATGTATGGTTGATGTCATTGTCGCTTGAAGCGTTGGTGAATCTTTCAGGACTGTACAAGCAGAAATCAGGACCCTCCGGTGGTTTCAAACATGTATGTGAAACATATACCTGAGATGGTCAGGTAGCTCAACCCAAACAGTTCACCGCATGGCTTCACAGCCCGCGCGACAGTTGCAGAACCACGACTGGGTGCATTTCGACTTGCGCCTGGCGTTGCTCAGCACAGATGTCACAGGTGGCGCTTCTAAAGGGGATTGAAACAACAAAAATGATGAAAAATCGGGGTTTAAACGCATCAAAAGCAGCTAGAGTTGTGAATGTGATAATTACATAGATATAGATATGGATATAGATATGGATATAGATACAGATACTCGTGTCTATATATATATATATGTGTGTGTGTGAAAAAATCATGCTGAAGGTAGGTTCTGGTAGAGGGGGTGACCGTATATACATATACACACATACACACACACATATATATATAAGTAAGTAAGTAACTATATATCTAGCAACCAACTGAATAGTGTTGCGTTGATTTATTTCTTGATTTCCCATCTCCCAAAACATCGTGATTATCTCCTAATTGGCGTTCGCATTTCTCGCCGGGGTCGCCAGCACTTGGCACCATGGCCCTACAGCTGAAACTCTGGTCGAGATTAGAGATAGATCAAAAACTAAAGGAAATCCAAAAATCCGATGATATCCGGTGATTGATCATCATTTCCGGCACTAGAATTGCAACTTTAGAACTTTTTGGAGTCCCAACAGCCGAGTCACAGCTGACCTGAGGCCGTGTCGTAGTGCGAAGCTGAGCTTGTGATATTGGGATCGTCATGGCGAAACTCGGGATGTTTACCCCAAAGAGATGGACGACTTGGGCATTACCCTCGGGTAAACATACATAAAACTATGGAAAATCTTTTTTTTTTTAACTATAGGTAAATCAACCATAAATGGCCAATGTTCAATAGCAATGTTCGTTTACCAGAGGGTAAACATAGCCATAGAATATTGGGGATTTTAACGGGGTGATGAAGATGTAACCGTATACAACCAGCACTATGGGGCAAAGCAAAAGGAGATGTTTGATCCAGAGGCACTGCGGGTACCCCATTTTTCAGACAAAACCATTCACAAACAGTATCACCTTGCAGATGTTCCCATGTTCATTGTCATGGATTTTGAAGTGCCTTCAGCCTGCTTCTTAGGATTAAAACAGGAATAAACAAGCAAAGACTAAAGCAACAAAAACACAGCACTATTTTGAGAAAAACAAAAACAAATGAAAAAAAACAACAAAACCTGTTAATGCAAACCTAGTTGTTGCAGAAAAAAGCAGGAACAAAAGCAAATAAAGGCACAATCAATTACAAAAATCGGAAAATAGCAAAACAAAAATCGCAGCGGACGGAAACACGCAAACAAGTGACCCTGGTGACCAGGATGTTTCTTAAATTGAAAAACTTGAGCGAAAAAAAGCACGAAAAGCAGAACAGACTTCAACCGGTTGCTCGATCATACCCAAGCGACTGAACCATCAAGCAACCCCTTCCCCGAGCAGTACTGGGTGCAACAGGTTATAGGATGGTTAACAAAATGGCTTGTAAGTTGCAATTTGGTGTAATCCCAATTGATACTTAACTTATAATCCCAAATAATCCAAATATGAAACACCCCCAGAAACATCAGAAACCATCGTCAAAAGTCAGGAAATGACACATATTTGGACATATATATATATATATATTTGGGGTGTGTTTCATAGGGGGCTTGGATTGACTCAAGTTACTAAGGCACTGATGCAGAGGAACAGCTTTGGCTTTGGGTCTGGGCCTGAGATGTCATGGAAAAACATAACTTACCAAGGCCCATCAATGAATGTTTCATTTTATTCTGGAAACCTTTGGATATCATTGAAGGATGGCTAACAATGGTTGGTGGATGATTACCCTCTGGTAAACATACAAAAAACTTTGGAAAATCACCATTGTTTATGGGAAAATCAACTATAAAAGGCCATTTTCAATAAGCTATGTTAGTCATTACCAGAGGATAAACCTCCTATGATTTTCCTATAAATGGGCCATTTCCCATGGCTATTGTTGCTTCATGGCTATTGTAGATTTATAGGGGCTTCTAACGCTGGGAACAGTCACTGGGGCCTCATCTAACGCTACCAGGACGACCTGGTGACGAGTCAGGACTGGATGGGTAGCATGTGAACCATAACCCTCCATAACTTGGGATAGCCCCAAAAATCCCAAAACGATGGAAAAATCCTATGGATCTACAGCTGAATAGAACAGTGACGATGACCTGCAGTGGGATGATTTTCATCGAACAGAGATATGCTGGGCATTTGGTTGTGAAGGTGTGTCTGAACTAGCTGCCATTTGCATTTGTAGGAACAGTTTGTTTGTGCATAGGTTGCATAGGTTGCCACTTTTGACGAGATGACAATGCCTGGTCCATGAATGCAAGTATTGCTTCTCTGGTTTATACATCAAGCTGCCTCCAGTTTCGCTGGAATACCGCCTGGCAATGTAGATATCGAAATGCATTTCACCAAAATATACTTCAAAAAAGAGACTCCATCATACATATGGAGAAGTCCAAACCTACACTGGCCTACACTACTATGTTTTAGGGCGGATGAGCATCCATTTACCATCTAGTTTGATGTTGAAACCCGGGGATTCAGGAGCTCTGATGGGCCAAAGATGTGCCCCAAAGCGAACTCCGCGATGGAAAATGGGGTGTCATAGGTGTGTTATTTTGTAGCGACCCCAAAAAGACCAATTCGGGAAAGTGAACTGATGTAAGTTCCTACTATAAACTAGAATTGGAGAGGATCTATCAATTTCTATCTCAACTTGTGATTTACCAAAAACGCACATGCTAATTTGATGCGGATGGTGCTGCCCAGGGGGGCGGTGAGTTCAATTATTAACAACCGGGGCTTAACCAGCCGAGGGGATGAGATCAACCAAAATGAGGAGTTCACCATGGATTGACGCTGAACGACAACCAATGAATGATGGAAATGGCTGTGTCGAGAAATGTGGTATGCCTGGTATGCTGTATTCTGATATCACCCATTGATGGCAATTTTGATCGATGACAAGAGACTGTCAGGATCTTTTTTAGAAATTTGGAGGATGATTTGTTTGGTAAAATTTGTTATTATTCGAGTAATTTGCTAATTTTACTAAGTCGGGTGATGTATTCTTTTCCCAACGGAACATTCACCATGAACTGGGAATCTGTAGGGAACACGTCTTTATTTGGGGGGGATGCTTCATGAAATCCATGTGATGAGGAGATACCGAGCTGCTGTTATAATTCTTTTATAATTGCTATATCACTATGTTTCTGGACTCATTTCCTATGAAATGTGGCATATCTTTGGGTGTTTTGTCACTCGGCTTTGCGCATCCATTGTGCTGGGGATTCAGGGACCATCCCCGCTGTTTGAGCTGCAGAAATATGTGGCTTCACGGGCCGAGGCTAGTGGTACACCTCAACCCATCCTCCCCAAGATTTGGAACCACCACTACCACCATAGATCTCCCTTTTCAAGGCACCATATGGGTGAACTGCAACGAAACCACGATGTCACCGATTGCACGACCGTCAGGATGGCTAAAAGCTTGAAAAAATAATTCAACGAGACTTGTCAAGGAGGCATACCAGCTCCATAGAACCAACATGAACCAACCAACTAATCATCATTGCAAGCGAGATGACAAAATTCCGATCGAATTCCCATGGAAACTGATCATGGCGCCCAAAGCAAGGCCCGGAAACGCCCGAAAAGCCTTGAAGCACTTGGGTCACTTGGGTGATCATCATACGCAATTGTCTTCACCCCCAATTCATGGCAATGGTCGTGGAGAAAAAGACATGATAAACCAGCAGGTTCCTGGTGATCATCTGATGAATGTCAACCCCGAATCAATAAACAATAAGAAGTCCTCAACAGATTGAGTGGGTTATACTATATATACCCAAAATGATGAGTAGTGATAAACAGTTCTGGGTTCAAATTAGCTCAATGATCAACAGCCTCATCGCAGTGCAGGTGCACCTGGGAAGTACAAGCCACGATTCCAGTGCTGTACACGCATCAGAAGGCTGCCGCAGATTTGACGTAAGGCTGTTTGTAGGGTGAAGAATCCCCAAGATAGCTAAGTTGGTTTATAACTCCAATAACTATGGTTTATGGTACTTAACTATAGTTAATGGGGTTTATAAACCAACTTATAACTGGGGGGGCCCACGTTGTAGGGTGAAGAATCCCCCATGACTTAAACATGAAAATGGATGGTTTCCGAACCATGCCTAATTCTGGTGGGGGTTTATGATGTTTATGGGTTTGGGCCAAATGAAGTTCTTTGGATGCCTATTGATCTGCCACAGATGCCAGGTGCCAACTGAGCAATGGAATTCCAGATGTTCATGTGTGATATGGATATGTACATATGTCGATATGTATTCTGTATACCTGCAATAGTTATACAGCCCGACTGGTGAGTTCTGCATGTGAGAGACCTCTGACGCTAGAATTGTATTCTTCCTGATGCGGGATCATTTATCAGGACATCATCTATAGTAATCTACAGCAAGTTATCCACCATTGCCAAGCCTTACCCATTGCATACTACTTATAGTCTATCATCCAGCATTGTCTATTCTGAATCATCTGGCAATGATCATTATTACCACTCACCTCTGGTACCCATCAACGACCCCATCATGTATCCTATCATCTTTGATCACTCAAGCCTAACCCCTGAAAGATCCTCATCATTCTACATCATCAATGCACCCATCATTGACCCATCATGTATCATCATGTGATTACCATGTTGCCCATCATTTTATCCATCATTTTACCCACCCTTTACCCATGTGTAGCCATCCATGTGCCCATGATTTCCAGGTGGCCAAGCGTCCCGTTCACCGCGAGGGCCGGCTGACGCTCCACTTTGGCCGTGCCGTGCTCTGCGATGCCGCGGGGAAACGCCTGGACGAAGAGACGGTGCCACGCCGCGGGACTGGAGGGTCACAGCCAGGGGAAAAAAATGCCACGAAAAAGGATGATTTTGAGATGATTCAAGGTGGCCACAAGAAGATTGTAGCTGTTTTTAGTAGATGTAAGAATAAACATAAGAATAATGATGTGAACCAACCGTTGGAGATTTTGAGCAACGGACGTACGTCTTGAAGCAGCACATTTTTTGGGGATGGAAAGGACCAAACATCGGATATGATGCATGGAACGATGGCCGATAATTGGGTTGAAGATGGCAGACGCACATTCTGAGTGGCTGCTCTTATCGATCAAATGGTTGTCGTCCGTACCGTTTGAAAGGGCTGACTAGAACCAACCAGAAGTTGACCAGCCGAAAGGCCCCAAAAAGAAATGGCACTCCCGATGGGAAAAAAGGAAGAACTTTGGGTGGTCAATGTCTTGAAAATTCTGGATTTTGAGCTTCAAAGATGGTGGTTGGATGTGATGAGTGGGCCAAAACGTATCTCGGAAAAAGCAACTCGCACTGGTAGCCTGAACGCCTCAATTAATATATCATAATCTATCCATAGTTGCTACCCAATAATCTGAGATTGGACAGTTGTCATATTTTCTTGTCCAACCAACACAGAGTCCATGTTGCCAGGTCACAACAGCGCTACTTGAGCAGTTGAAAGCTGGAGAGGAACTGGTCACTGCACCCAGAGAAACATCTGCTGGGTGTTCACCATCATCCGATCTACCTGTCGCACTCCAAGAGTGAATATTTTGGCATGCCAAACCCTGGCTTCTGTAACAAAGAAAGGTGTCAAAATTATGTTGAAAAGTCCCCATGATTCCCTGTTGAACCACCAAATAGCATCAAATATCATGATCTGGTTGGTGGTTTGGAACATGTTCTATTTTTCCATATATTGAGAATAGTCATCCCGACTGACTAATAGTTTTCAGAGGGGTAGGTCAACCACCAACCAGATAATGGAATATTTATAAGGGTTAATACCCATTATTATCCCATTTGATACCCATGTTTTTTGATATTAATGGTATAATATGACAATTATCGATCACAATGAGATTCTCATGTCTACAATTGAAATGGCCACCCGGTCGGTGCTCAGGATTTCCCTGGGCATTTGCTCTCTCCAGATCCACCTGAGGCAGCGAAATGGGTGCCTTGACATATCGGGGATGGATCAACGGTGTAGCCATATACAGCGGATATCCCACAGAATCCATCCGAATCCCACATATAACTTGGGTATAATGCATAATATGATTGTTACCCACGAACTGGAACGCACCCGCTAGTAATGTACATCCAAGAATCCACCATACCCATACCATACCCTCAATTCATCCGTTGGGGGCCTTCGAGACGAGACCTACTAGCGACTTTGCGTTCCCAAAAAATTGGATATCGTGAGCTATAGGGCTCTCTCACATCAAAGGCACCGTGTACCACAGAACGAAAGGAAACCAATGAGACGTTTCGCAGCCTTGCACCAATCCTATCAGCTGTAGGTACAGTTTTTCATGGGAAAATCACCATTTTTAATGGGGAACATCACCATTTTTAATGGGAACCCTCCTAAATAGCTACCTTCAGCCTCTGGATACGTTGCACCCGATCCCATGGTGTTTCCCAGGCCCTGTCCCGTCTTGCTCCGCCCGTGCCGGCCGCGCCGGCCACGATGCCACAGATGCTGCCGCGAATGCCGCGGCCAGCACAGTGGCGAGGCAGAAACTGGCAGCGCATTTGCAGTGCTCCACTTATAGCCATTGAAAATAGCCCATTTATAGATGGTTTACCTATTAAAAATGGGTGGATTTTCCATGGCTATGTTAAATAACCAGATGGTATATAGAATTCCAGTGTGTATGTATATACTGCATGTATAATATGTATATATGATTATATATGTTTAGTTTGGTAACAGTACATAATCATATAGACACAGATGTATACACACATGACGCGTTTTTTCATACGAACTGCTGGCATGCCCCGCAGGCCCCGCAGGCCCTGCAGAGATCGCCATAGCATCGAAGAGGTTGGAAGTGCTGATGGGTCTGTTACCCTCTTGTTCTCCGTGGGGAACTGGAAAATCACCTATAAATGGGTAAATTATAGATGATTATAATGGTTTATAATGGTGATTTTATAATGACCCATCTATAAATCCATCTATAAATGGGTCATTTTCCACAGCTATGTTAAGTTTAACATGGGTATGTTTTAATGCAGATATACCTTGTAGTTATTGTTCACCAACCGCAAATGGGGATGCAATGGGAATGCTATTTTAACCAATCACATCTAGGAATTTCAGAAGCCAAAACCTCAGACGTCCTGACTCTAGGCTTTCGAACGAGATAATGATGGTACATGGTATCAATGGTATCAATGAGCTCCCCCCAAGAGTCATCAGTTTTTGTTTCAAAGTTTCACTGTTGGACTATTGGACTCATAATTTTGAGCCATATCATGTAAAGATTTGTCGCCGCGCTTTTTTACCGAGGAGCTGCCTGTGTGTTTCTGTTTGACTCGCTCATTGCTCAGGTTCAAACGTCCGCGAATCCTTGAGGCACCGCCATGTTTACCAGTCTGGTAAGAGGAATGTCCAGGACGTAACTCATGGTTCCCCCAGTCTCGTAGAAATTCAACACCAAGCTGGTCCCAGTTGAAATACATCGAATACATCGAATATGAAATTGGTTTGACGCGTCGCAGCAGAAGGGTGTCCCCCGGAACCCGGAAAACATCGAGATTTGGACAGGTCTCAGTCCCGACAGTCCCGGAGCAGAAAATTGAGACGGAAGCTCAAGAAATAAGTCAAGGCCCCAGGGATCCTGCTGGCAGATCCATATTTCGATGTTGAAAAAACTCAGTTAGTTGCCTTCTGGTTTTAAACAACGTTTTGTGAACTGGAAAATCACCATGTGTGAAGCATCAGTAATATAAATCAGTTAAATCATTTTAACATCTAAGATCTCTTTTCCATCAATATCACTTGTCATATCTTATAAATGAACGGTTATATATATATACATATTGCCAATAATATTGCCATATTTATAATGCTGTATATATATAATACATAGATGTATATATATATATATCATCAGTTCATCAGCGGGGCATGGCTGCAGGCGTGGAGCCAGCGGAGATCCAAGAGCAGGCAGCGTTTTTTGTTTTTCTGCGTCGCGTCACGAATCTCCAAAGATCGTGGCTGTAAATAATGGTTTATACAATGGCTGTTAATTGTTAATGGCTCTCAGATGTTATGTTGGGATATGGACCGGAGTTCTTTGATATAATAGGTTTTTTTACTTCAGATATTTGATGCTGGGATTGTTGTTAGATATCTAATCAACAGATCCGACATCAGATATCTCAGATAGCCCTAAAAAAACAAATGTAGGTGATTCAACAGTGAGAAACGCACTCTTTCGAGTTGACAAAGTCAACCATGGGAAGACTTCCTTTGATTCGTGGAATCCGTGGAAGCATGAGCCCAGCAGTGTGTTCACGCCCAGTTCCAGGTGCTCAACTTCCTTCTACAGAAATATGCGGAAATATCTCCGGAAATATCTCCATATTGTTTCCCAAGTTTTCTGGTTTCTCCCATGTTCATCCATTTTCTATTATACACCTAGAGTACTTACAACTTACATCAACTTACAACATTTGCAAATCCATTTATTGGTCGCGTTTCCCGCTGCAACCAGGCGACCCCTTGCCGCAAGGATCTTCGAGGTGGGCGGAAAAAAATTCGACCATCGAAGTTTGAATCGCTGGGAAACCATGGGGTGTTTTTTGGTCATTGGGATATTGATGGTTCTTAAAATATGGGTACCCCAAGTCACCATGAGTTTCAATGCTATAGTTTTGTCTGATTTTGGATGGGTACCCCCTATTTTAGGAAACCCCCATATAACCCGAGATGCTTTAAGAAATATGCCAAAGATATTAAGACATAACATGGGATGTAACTATGATACTAGCCATTCCTGGGGATACACCATGGATTATACCCGTCATCAAACATAGCTGGGAGATCCCTGATCAAAATCGAGGTGTATAGCTGGGAAAAGCAACGTGATACCAAGCTATTTGGGAGTGCAGCTGGGGTTAGGACCTGTAACCACTGTTGTAAACCCTCATAAATCGGGAAATATAACCCCTATGATTATACTATAGGCACACTTATAACTGGAACTGCACGCCCAAGTACTGTAGGCTTTTCCGTCGAATTTTCCATAGATCAATCCATCAATATTTGTGTAGAGGACATGTGTGGAGTTATATGTTTCCCATTTGAATGACTAGATAGGTACGGTCATGGTTATCCTGTTAGAGAACAACCCCTACCCAAATTGTGTTGAGCCATTTACTTCTGGAAATCGTTAAGACCTTCCCAATGGGGGCGAAAAACGTGCACCCAAAAACCCCAGACAGTTCAGGTTCCATCTTCAATTTTTGGGTTGATGTCCACTTCAATGCTGAAATGCCAAGATCAATAAATGTCATGCTAGTTTCAGAGCTGCAAAAACTCTCCGTTGAACCTCACCGGTTGCGCCGCTTGGGGTATCTCTCCGCGGTAGCGCCCAGGTATCGGCAGCAGCTTCAAAGCCCCCAGGCGTCGGCGTCAAGATGTAGGATTCGACCAGCAAAATGCCGTGGCTTTTTTTGGTGACCAGCAACATTTCATGAAGATTGGTAGTTCGGTAGTTCTGAATGGCATTGAAGGCCCAGAAAAAATAGCAGATGTGTAATGATGTGAAAATATTGTTGATTTGTTGATTATTGACCTGCATTGACCATTCAATTTTAGGGGCACAGAATGTTGACCTGTGCCAGGCAAATGTCCTTCGCGATCCCAGAGGCAAAACCGGAGGGGCCTCCGCTGTTTCTCCCCATTGATTTGGATCATGAAATGTCTATTCTGGTAGCGGTTTTGAGACCGGTTCTGAAGGGTACTGTTGATTGAAATAACTCATCTTATTTTCGCAGAGTAGCCAATGCAGTGAAGCTGCTTCTGTGAAGCATGCCTTTAAAGTTCTTTCCAGGGGAACCAATAGTGTGATTTTCAAGACTTACTACGATCAGCTGTCGTTCATCTTAGAATTCATCTTCCATGCTATCCTTTTTTTCACTCGTTTGTCTCCAGAAACTCTTGGTTCACGACCAAAAGAAAACGGAAATGCTGGGCCAGGCCAACTGCTTTGAGGCCGAGCCAAGCTCGCAACAGGCCAGCACGTTCTCTTCAAAAGATGGTGATTCCTGGTTCCTACAAGTGCCGTGGTCAGAAGTTGGATCATATACCGAAGTTGGAGTGTATACCCATAAAAGATAAAAGATGGTGATTTTGTTTGGGGATATTTTATCAATGGAGATATAGTGGGGTACATAACCAACTATAGTCAACATTACATTAGTCAGCATTGATTTGGGGAAGGTCATCCCATAAAAATCCGCCAGAAAGCATCACCCAGATGGTGGGATTTCCCATGGTGGGACGACCTTAAATTTCTGTTGATGTTTTGAAAACGTCCAGCAACCATGGCAATTGATGGCTGACTGTTTCAAAATAGGCTACCCAAAATGCCATGGTTTTTCAGTGTGTCCCAATGTGTCCCATCAGAATTGCGGCCCATCTCCTAGGTTTGGACCATCTCCCAGCTTGACCCAGTATGTTTGGTTGCATCCGAAACAATATCCGATCATCTATCAATTAAAATGTATCCTATGAAACATATCCAACTATTTACGTTATTACATATCCCATTTTATCACCATAAACTTGTTAACATCTCCAATGACTCGTGGCAAAAATCCCTTTGAGTCAATACCTCATTCCGTTTTTTCTTGGAAATCATAAACTAGAACTTCATCCCCAATAACTGGAATTTGATGACATACATCCCTATATTTTTGATACATCCGATGTTTTTCGATGATAAACATCCAGTGTTTTTTTCGCTGCCGGAGGTGTCGCTGACCCCCTCTGAGCGGCATGCGGAAGCTGCTTTGGAGCTGTGTCGCCAGGCGGAGCAAACGACAGCCGTGGTCCGATCGATGTCACCAGCAAAGGAATGGTGGAAATCGTTGGTTAATGGGAATATAATGGGAAATCTTCAACTTAAATGGGATAGATAGATGGATGGATGGATAGATAGATAGATAGACAGGAACGATAGATAGAGATAGAGAGATAGAGAGATAGAGAGATAAAGAGATAGAGAGATAGAGAGATAGATAGATAGATAGACATAGATAGACAGATAGATTGATAGATAGATAGATGGAGAACGATGGATGGATAGATAGATAGATATCGATAGATATCGATAGATATCGATAGATATCGATCGATATCGATCGATATCGATCGATAGATAGATAGATAGATAGATATCGATAGATATCGATAGATATCGATAGATATCGATAGATATCGATAGATATCGATAGATATTGATAGATATCGATAGATATCGATAGATATCGATAGATATCGATAGATATCGATAGATATCGATAGATATCGATAGATATCGATAGATATCGATAGATATCGATAGATAGAGATAGATAGAGATAGATAGAGATAGATAGAGAGAGATAGATAGATAGATATCGATAGATATCGATAGATATCGATAGATATCGATAGATATCGATAGATAGATAGCTAGATAGATAGATAGATAGCTAGATAGATAGATAGACAGATAGATAGATAGATAGATGGAGAACGATGGATAGATAGATGGATAGATAGATAGATAGAGGTAGAGATAGAGATAGAGATAAGGATAGAGATAGAGATAGAGATAGACAGATAGAGATAGAGATAGATAGAGAACGATAGATAACGATAGAGAACAATAGATGGAGAACGATAGATAGATAGATAGATAGATAGATAGATATCGATCGATCGATAGATAGATAGATAGATATCGATCGATCGATAGATAGATAGATAGATTGATAGATAGATAGATAGATGGAGAACGATGGATGGATAGATAGATAGATATCGATAGATATCGATAGATATCGATAGATATCGATAGATAGATAGATAGATAGATAGATAGATCGATAGAGAGATAGAGAGATAGAGAGATAGAGAGATCGATAGATAGATAGATAGATAGATAGATAGATATCGATCGATAGATAGATAGATAGATAGAGAACAATAGATGGAGAACGATGGATAGATAGATAGATAGGTAGGTAGGTAGGTAGAGAGATAGAGAGATAGAGAGATAGAGAGATACAGAGATACAGAGATAGAGAGATAGAGATAGAGATAGATGGAGAACAATAGATGGAGAACAATAGATTGATAGATAGATAGATAGATGGAGAACGATGGATGGATAGATAGATATCGATAGATATCGATAGATATCGATAGATATCGGTAGATATCGATAGATATCGATAGATATCGATAGATATCGATAGATATCGATAGATATCGATAGATATCGATAGATAGATAGATAGATAGATAGGTAGATAGATAGATAGATATCTATAGATATCGATAGATATCTATAGATATCGATAGATATCGATAGATATCGATAGATATCGATAGATATCGATAGATATCGATAGATATCGATAGATATCGATAGATATCGATAGATATCGATAGATATCGATAGATATCGATAGATATCGATAGATATAGATAGATATAGATAGATAGATAAATAGATAGAGAACAACAGATGGAGAACGATCGATAGATAGATAGAGATAGAGAGATAGAGAGATAGAGATAGAGATAGATAGAGAACGATAGATAACGATAGAGAACAATAGATGGAGAACGATAGATAGATAGATAGATAGATAGATAGATAGATGGAGAACGATGGATAGATAGATAGATAGATAGATAGATAAATAGATAGAGATAGATAGATAGATAGATAGAGATAGATAGAGATAGATAGATAGATAGAGATAGATAGATAGATAGATAGAGATAGATAGATAGATAGAGATAGGTAGAAAGATAGATAGAAAGATAGATAGAAAGATAGATAGATAGATAGAGATAGATAGAAAGATAGATAGAAAGATAGATAGAAAGATAGATAGATAGATAGAGATAGATAGAGATAGAGATAGATAGAGATAGATAGAGATAGATAGAGATAGATAGAGATAGATAGAGATAGATAGAGATAGATAGAGATAGATAGAGATAGATAGAGATAGATAGAGATAGAATGAGATAGATAGAGATAGATAGAGATAGATAGAGATAGATAGAGATAGATAGAGATAGATAGATAGATTAGATAGATAGATTAGATAGATAGATAGATGGATAGATAGATGGATGGATAGATGGATGGATAGATAGATAGATAGATAAATAGATAGATAGATAGATAGATAGATTTTTGAACATCTGAAACCATGGTTCATATTAGTTTAATGGGATGCAGCCAATTTCTGGTGAATGTTTGGTGAGACGTTTTTCACCCAGATGATATTTGGGTGTGTCTGAAAATGGCGTGTTTCCAATACATGGTCATTTTGATGGACTAATGATAAATAATCCATTGGAATCCACTGGACGATAGGGGTATACCCCTAAGTTCTGGCCATTTTACTGGGCATGAGAACGAATCGGGAGACTCTTCCGTTTTCCATGATTTAAGCCACCCCAGCCTCTCACAGCGTTGGGGCCTTGCGCGAGATGCATGTTACTGCAAAAATGGGTGCATCATAATCATTTATGGTGCAATCAGTATAATACATACATATATATATACATAGTCTGTTCACCTATCAGTCGCTATCTAATTAAAAATCAATTTGATCCGTATTTACCCACAAGTTGCCAGCCAACGTTCCAACAGTTCCCAAACAGATAGAAAGGTAAAGTCCAACTAAAAGATACCACGCCCTTTTTTGACCATGGTGCGAAAAGTATTTCTTCTTAGATAAATGTCAGAACGTGCCACATCACATCACGGTTCATGTTCCTTTGGTGGGTATGCGGGGTGGAGGGGCAATACCGTACCTTGTCACTATATCCCAAAACCAAGTTTTCCTTTACGGTCCATGTATGGTTTTACCGTATTACCAGAGTTCGTCCCTTCCCACGGTCGAAAAGGGGCTAAAAGGATCTAAAAGGATCTAAAAGGATCTCAAAGGATCTAAAAGGAACTAAAAGGATCTAAAAGGACTAAGATCTCCTAATTAATAGTGATACGCTCCGGTAATCAAACATTGCTTGCTGGAAAATCCCTTCAAATTTGGATGTTTTTTTTCCAGCAAGCAATCGACAACTTTTCAGTCTGGGGATTTCCTAGCTTGCCATGTTTGATTAAGAGGATAGATGATTGGTATACTCACCCATCTATCGATGATTTTCCTATCATATTCCCATCAAATAACGGCTGGTTGATGGCCAAATCCTATTTGATTTTGATCCAAAGAACTAACTACATCTCTGTTCCCATTATATGATCTCCATGTGTTTTTGTTCTCCTATTATATGACCCCCATTATATAGTAGATAATCTATATATAATAGATAATCCCCATTATATAGATTATAGGATAATCTTTCATCTATATCCTTATGATATCCCCACTATCCCATACACCTCACGGACATCGGACAGGCCTTTGTGACGGAGCGCGTTCACCTGGAACGATACGAGGCCGGCACGAAAAGTGGAGCTTGATACGTTTTCAGTGAGGATCCGAAGAAACCAATGGGGGTAACGATGGTTAATGAATAATAATGGTTTCTTGCTGGTTGATAATAATAGGTTTTATGATGGTTCGCAATTGTTGATCATTGCTGAAAATCGTCAATAATGATTGAGCAAGATTAATGATGGCTAATGGCTTATAACAGCTGATCCTGGTTGACAATGGTGAATATGTCTAAAGCTAATGATGGCTGATTATGATTGACAATGTCTCATAACGGTACACCATGGCTAAATTTAACGCTTGATGGGATACTGGTTGCAATCAGTAATATAGTTTATGATCGTTTCTATGGCGCAATATGGGTAAGAAACAGTTAGTCTGGTTCACTATGCTCAATGATCTGGATTAGTACTAGTAATTTAGAAAAAGAATATGTTGATGGTTAAGGCAGTTTATATATAAATGTTTACAATCATCATTGATATATACTTATGGTTAATACAGGGGGTATGCAAACGGATGATAACGATTATGTTATCATAGTATTGTTTGTGGCCAATATGGTAAATGATGGGATGTAGATGATGGTTGGCAATGATTGCTCATGGTTGATATGGCTTATAGTTGCTAGCAATGACCATGGTCATGCTTAGTTGTAGTGCTAGTTACTTGTGCATACCCTGGGATGCATATTCTATTGATCTGACCGTGTTGGCAATGATGGTTGCAAATTTGGGTTAAAGGATGCTTAATTGAGACCCTCTCCTCCTTCAATGATGGTTGCTGGTGATTAAACATTATAAATGCTGGTTGAATCCGTATAATCCTCAGCAAACAAGCGGATCATCATGATTATCATTCGTGCTTAATTGGTGGATGATTGTTGAATCATGCGCTTTGAATGTTTGCGACTGGCTAGCTGTTTGGTATGATCATGTTTGATCATTATGAACAGTTGGGGCATCAAAATCTGCATCACTCTTGTGGAGCTTGTAGGCCTTTCAAAACTCGAACTGGGCTGACGAGGTTTCTGCGTTTTTTCAAAAAAACACAATAAATCTAAACCTAGTCAGAAATTACATAAAAGATTTATTGTGTTTAGATTTATGTTAGATGTTTTATAAATAACATAAATATAAACACCGTAAATCTACCCTTTGGCAGAATTTCGAAACCCAAGAATCATCTTACTGGACTTGGGCATTGCTTGATCCAATTTCAATGACCTTTGATCATTGATCATTGAGGATTTTTTTATGACATCGGTTCTCCACAAATTGGTGCCGTTCCGATCTCGTCTCCACTCGGTGCGACGCGGGTCTGACTTTGATCGGCCATTGATGGGAATGTGGTTGGAATTCATTGGGTTTACAAGTTATATGTTAATATTGTGGATGTGGTTTACTACATTCACATTATGAAAACGATGTGTTCCTCTATCTTTGATAATGGTTGAATCCTCGATTTATGAATCGACCATCCACCAGCATAGCCGAGCTCAATACCGAGATTGTTGAAGCAAGTGCCGTGAGTTGAATCAATCTACACTGATGATTCAACTTCACATACATCTTTATTCATGGATTTTACTGGATTTTCATAGGTTTTCATGGATTTTCAAAGGATTTACTTGGTGAATTCATAAGTCAATCCCAGGCATTTTCGAAAAAACATTGATGTAGCTCCCAGGCCAGAGCATCGAAAGAAGCTGATCTTGAGGCCGGGGAGGAATGCCAGGGGGTGCTTTGGTTGACAGGTAAACCTTGAGGTAAACCTTGGATACTTTGGCACCTGTTTTTTGGGGGGATATTTACAAACCAGCTACAAAAAGACGATGCCTCGGCGACCAAAGAAATGCACCACGGTAGTGATATTAGTGTAGCCAGGCATTCACCCAAATGATGTCAGATATGAAATAGACGTGGCTCTCAAACGTGCTGTTTGTCATGTTGCGTCACACTGAGTGTGACCCCTTGAACCAATGCATATATATATATATATACATAGATATAGATATATGTAGATATATAGATAGATAGATCGATCGATATATAGATATATAGATATAGATATATATATATATCTAGATATACATGGAATTATCATGATCGATCGCAATCCATCCCCATCAACCAGCCTTTTGAGGAGTGTCCCATGGCGTAGTTCCAGGGCCTCGCAGTTTGGTTCCAGATTTCGGGCAATTCGGGCAGAGCGCATGGAGGAGTTGCAGACACCCTTCAAGCCGCAGATCCTTGGTGTGGAAAAAAAATCCTTGGATTCAGATACTTTGTGAAAACCAGGGCGAAGCCACGTGGCTTTTGACGCGTCCCATGAAGCTGAAAACACTTTCGCACCAGCTTCATACGAAGGGATGGTCATCCCCGGGATATACCAATTGTGCAATCCTATCGGTGTGGGATGGCCTCCATTCACGTGTTTTGACCATGGTCACGTGCGATAAAAAAGGATCGCCATGAAACTATTGAAAGCACCAATGATCAGCAAATAGCTCGGGGGGTCTCGAAAATTTCTGGAAGCCTCTCTATAAATCCTATGAATACTACTATGAATACTACTATTTATATATATATATAGTTATTTGCAAATCATAAACAATGGTTATTGGAGTTATGTGGACCAACTTAGCGATTTCGTGGCCGCCGGTGGGGCCCACATTGTAGCTAATTTCGGATCTCGGTGACATCCTGGAAAGGTATGTCCCAGAATCACAGGAAGTCTTCAAAATGCGTAAATCATCCAGGATGGGGCCCCAGTTCGTTGGCTAAGTTGGTGAACATAATCATAATAACAAGTTGGTGTATGATACTTAAAGAACTCTCTTTAGATGGGGTTTTAAACCAACAAACATAACTGGGGGTCCCATCCTGTCCCCCATAGAGGTTTATGAGGTATACCTCATGAAAAGATATGCCCAACTTACAGGATATAAGAGGATTGTTCCCTAAGCACGGTTGCAGGCTATTGATGTCACAGCTCATTCCTCAGGTTCTGGACTAGGCAAGCGAGGGAAGCGAAGGAACCTCACCCCGCAATGCTGGAACTTCCAGTGCCAAGTGAGAAGCCCGAAGAGCTCTTTGTTGCTGGACCGCAAAAAAACGTGAACCAACTGGATGGGCATTTCACCCATCATTTTTTGGTGCAGCGAAACATGGGGAAGATTCGCAAACAGTGGTAAACCAAGTGGTGACGGAATATCTACTAACCGGCTTTTAAAATGCAGGGCATTTACCATTGGATTTGTTCAATGGTGATTTGAGCGCCGAAAACTAGGTACCGTAGGAAAATGGGACCCTATGAATTTAGTTGGTGTTTTTGAATATGTGGGTCGAAATTGGCCTGTAAGTCATCTTTCACGGGGTGTTTTCTCGCCATCAAACCATCAAGTGGAGAAGCTTTGGATATCCAGTCGTGAACTCTTCATAGAAACCACTTACTGATAGTTCCAATCAATCAACTCCACTGAGAATGAAATCCCTTCCACCCTTAATATGGTTTACAGATGTTCAACCAGCGGTTTGAGAAACAGATGGAGGTCCTATGGATCCCAAGGCTGAAGATCCATTGCCAGATGTTGCGACGACCTTTGATCCCATGCCTCAGGCCTCCAATCGGATGGGGAGAAATATGTATATATATATATATGATTCCAGATATATACATTTTAAAATATGTTTAATCTATATTAATTTATATACATATACATATACATTGAGGGCCCACCATCAAGAATGCATTTTTCATATGCGGATGCGGCCCCAAAAGCGGGCCCTGGTGGCAGCGCCGTTTGAGCACAAGCCGACTGACAATTCTCCATTAAAACCCCATGTGGACAAACTCCAAGGAGACCACGCTACCCGAAACTATTGCTCCTCAAACCCGCATGTAAATAAAGGATCACGCCGCTCCCATCTGCGATTACGCCCTTCCCATCTGTGATTACGCCCCTCGTACGTCCGATTACGCCCCTCCAACCCGCAAGCTACTTAGTCCTTCCCATCTGTGGCTTCGACCCTCGTACGTCCCGATTACGCCCGAGCTCCAACCCGCATGTAAAGAAAGGATTGCGTCCCTCCCATCCCTGGTTATGCCCCTCGTACGTCCCGATTACGCCCCTCAAACCTGCATGTAAATAAGGGATTACGTCCCTTTTAGCGCTTTGTCCGTATACTGTACATTCCAAAGCGCGCGGACGGGATGCACGGCAACAATTGCACGCCACACACTTCTCCCAAGATGCACGCAGAACAGCTTGCTGACAAAAGCGTTGTAAAGGCGGCATGCTGCCAGAGCGCAAGAGGTTAGCATGGCTTCTTGCGGCCCCGGAAGGACCCTTTTCACTGATTCAAAACAGCTTCTGCGCCATGTCCCCTCATAGCATTATACGGATGTGTGTGTCCATGACGGCTTGCATTGCAGAAGGAAGGCTGGCGCCAGCAAATGGACGAAATCCGGGCATCAGGACCGTCGAGCAGCTCCTGTTTGCTCTTTCGTGGGGCCAAAAACTGGCCCCAAAAACGGGGCCGCAATCTTGCCGGAAGAAGGAAAGGCTTCCACAATGGCGGCCCCGTTTCTGGGACCAGGGTGTTGCATACACAGTCAGCCGTCTCTGCGTGCAGTGAGTAGCGGAGACTCTGGAACCTTTCGTTTGTTTTTCTGGCAATGGGCTTGACAAAGCCTCACCCAAGTTTCACAGTGTACATTTACAAATACATTTACATATACACATAAAATTTCATATACATATACATTTACATATAATATATACATACACATATATATATATATCTTTCTTTCTTTCTTTCTATCTATCTATCTATCCATCTATCTATCTATCTATCTATATCTATCTATATCGATCTATATCTATCTATATCTATCTAAATCTATCTATATCTATCTATATCTATCTATATCTATCTATATCTATCTATATCTATCTATATCTATCTATATCTATCTATATCTATCTATGTCTATCTGTATCTATCTATATCTATCTATATCTATCTATATCTATCTATATCTATCTATCTATCTATCTATCTATCTCTATCTATCTATATCTATCTATATCTATCTCTATCTATCTATCTACCTATCTATCTATCCATCTATCCATCTATCCATCTGTCCATCTGTCTATCTGTCTGTCTATCTGTCTGTCTATCTGTCTATCTGTCTGTTTATCTATCTACCTAATCTATCTATCTATCTATCTACCTACCTACCTATCTATCTATCTATCTATCTATTTATTTCCGTGTCTTTTAGTTCTAACTGTATATGTATATATGCATGTATAGGCATAAGATAACTATGTACGCAGGTGTTTTTCAGAAATGCGGGAAATCCTCGATTCGTCACAGTGCAAATCCCAGGAGTCGCTGGCAATGATGTCTCTGATGAGTCAAAGGAGCAAACAGGACCCACGCTCCTCCTTCTATGCCTTCACTTTGCCACCAGGACTGCTAGGCCGTGAGGTGCAAAAACGGTGGTGTTGTTGGTCTCTGTCCATGTCTTTCAAAGTTTGAAAGAGTCTGAAATTGTCACCATAAAAGTCGCGTCAATCCACATGACATTCCCATTCTACCTCCATTACCTCCATTACATCCCACTAATGTCACCATGTTTGCCATGTTTGCCGCTGGGAACCCAGGGTGCTATCCTGGGCAGGACTTCCCCGTGGTGAATCCGCAGCACCCAATCGTATACTACACGAAAACTCACAGCTCGGCTTACAGCAGTCACTTGGCAATTCGGAGAAACAACGGAATTCCCAACGTGATTACAACGGAATGACGGAGGGTTTTGAACAAGCTAGATTGCCTTTGTTGATTGCGATTTGCTATGCTGCATCTTGTTTATGTGAGGAGCAACATGCTCTAAGTACAACATTCGCGATTTTCTGCTGTACATTGCGTTTGTCCTGTGTTTAGATTGCCTTCCAAAGAGTTTGGATCGTACACAAACGCACACACGTTCTGGATCATGCAGTATTGAATCTGATCATGCGCGTGTGGATCAGATACGATGAAGTGGGTCAGCAATCGACGGATACACATGGATACATAATGCATAGACACACATGTGGATGCATGCTAGATACATGGATGCAGGTACGAATAGATGGAAAGATATGACAGATAGAGATTCATGCATTAGTGGAAAGAGTGCTGTAGATGAGCTTGGGAATATTAGAGTAGATCTTGGTACTTTCAATCATGCTGAAGATAGTTTTGGACACATAGACAGAGGGGCAAGAAAAGATGCCACAGATAGGCTTGTTTTCCAGGACAAATATGCACGTACATAGTATATGTACGTATACAGATACATATTGTACGTATAAAATGTAGTGCAACGTAACGTAATGCAATGGAATGCAATGTAACGTAATGGAAGGCAATGTAATTTAACGCAACGAAAATGCAAGGTACATGTAATGCCAGTGTAGTGTATGTATATTTTGCATTATTTTGCTGCGCTCAGATCCGCCCTCGCCGGATTTGCACCCAGGTTCATGCACGCGGTGCAACAAACGAAGGGACGCCAGCTGAGTAAAGAGGTGAAGAAGAGGCGGAACGAGTCATTTCCGTCCACGGACGAGCAAAGCGGAGCCTCGTGGATTTCCCGCTTCTGGGGCAAATTTCAAACCTTCACAGAAAGGGTGTAGCATTTGGAATGGCTTGGAATGACCGGATCAGAGCCAAGAAATCGAAAAAGGAAGGCATGTGCCACATTTGTTAAGTAGCTGGACTCTGGGAACCCCCGATTCCAACAAGCACCTAGAGATGTTGATTACGATGATGATTTGTTTGCCCATTTTGATCCCTTTCATGGGTGGTATCCTCATCAGGAGTTGAGGATTACACCAGGCGAACACAAGCCAACCATTTGTGAGTTTCCGGATTTGCAAAGAGATGTGATTGGACAAAAATGCGGGGGGGCTCCCAAATTCCCAAAGCTCACACTTCACTCTTAGGGTGACATGTGTCGCAATTCTTTGGACAGATGCTCATATCATGTCCACAACATTCTGAAACATTCTGGCGCTTCCAGGACAATAACCGGTTACTACTGCAGGTCTGTATGCAGCTAGACACTAGCCACTTGAAGTGGTCAAAAGTCTAGAGACACGTTTGCAGATGACACACTTCATCTGACACTTGCAGTGGTGATTGGTATGCCTTCTTGCTGGAATGATCACAACACTCGAAATCTACGCCTCAAATTTGAAGGTTATAGGGTGCCAAGAAAAGAGCAAGCAAGTACCTGACAAATGCTCATATTTGTCCTACTGGAAGTGCTTGAATTTCAGCAATGGCAAGATTTCTCAAGGGCACAAAACCATGGTAACGGTCGCCCCTGACCCTTGCCTCGCTCAGATGATGCTTGGAAGTCGAGAGCTCCGCGGCACCAGGGAGTACAGAAAGAGACAGGGTCACAAGCAATGAAAACAAACTAATCAGGACTAATTAATTTAACTTATCATGATGATCTCATGATTACCCCTGGTGTATCAATGCCCTTTTTGAGTTCTGCTGGAGGAGCATCGTGAAGCTCCACAACGCCTGTGGCGTTGAATTCTTATCCAAAAAACGTCTCAACCTTCTGGGGTCAATTTTTCACTGGAGAAATGCTGGACTTTCGCCTGCTTGTTGCAGCCGTAGCGAGTGCCTTGTGCTTGCAGCGCATTTTGGCGCTTCCAGTACCATATCTGCGTACCACTGCACTTTGAATTGCAGAGCCTCGTGACATGCATCGCCCGACGAAGGCCCGACGTGCGATGCTTTAAATTGGACAGTTTCATGAGATGCGCATTCTCTTGTTGGAAGTGTGAGATGCGCATTCTCTTGTTGGAAGTGTTGTCTGTCCTTTGGGAACTCGAAAGCAGTACAAAACACGATCTTTCCACATAGACTGCACATCTAAGACTGTGTTGCAAGAATGGGTGAAGTGATGACAGGGGAGAAGCTGGGGCTCTAGCCTCCACAGCCATGACCGAAGCTCTTCCAATTCACCGCGAATTCTTTAACCACGATGCGGCCAACGTCCGCAGGCTGTTAGGCTGCCAAGGCATGCACTAAGGTTTGGACGCGAGGCGATAACCAAGATATTTTCAGTGTACACTTCATTATAATCTCATCCCCCTTGTATTGAACACACCCCCAGGAACCATTGGTGGAAATAAGGGATGAAATCACATATGACAGCATACATTGGATCAATGGGGTGTGTTTAATATGAAGGGAATGGGATTACGATGGATTACGATGGATTACGATGGATTGCGTGTCATGTCCAAAAGTGCAAGTCTTGACAGGTTCACGTCGTCACCCGTGATGCCGATGAAAAGTGGTTTTCGTGGCTGCGGCGCAGAGTTGCTACAATCTCAAGGCCATATGCCCTAATCTCCTCCGACAGGGATATTTTGGAGGTATGATGATGAGAATTTTCAACAGCTTTGACCCATAGCATGTGTGAGCTATGGATAAAGATGTCAGTTCCTAGACCCACGCTTCACGTTTAGGAAACCTACTGTTCAGCCGCAGATTTCAGAGTACTTGGTCTCAATCATATGAAAAAATATGGCTGTGTCTGAAAATGGGGTGTATATCCGCAAAACGGTGGTGATTCAATAGAGAAGTTGATGATCAACCAGTTGAGGAGTTCCTATGTGTTGGATTCGGTTGAGCACCAAGAAGTTTCTTCTCAGAGAACAGGTTCAGTTCCACGTTGCGTGGGCGAAACATGGCCCAGTTTGCCCAGAATGGACACTTAGGTTGTGTCCAAAAATGGGGTTCACATTCTCTTGTTGGAAGTGTAGTCTGTCCTTTGGAAACTGGAAAGCAGTACAGAACACGATCTTTCCACATAGATTGCACATCTAAGACTGTGTTGCAAGAATGGGTGAAGTGATGACAGGGGAGCAGCTGGGGCTCTGGCCTCCACAGCCATGACCGGAGCTCTTCCAATGCACCGCGAATTCTTTAACCACAATGCGGCCAACGTCCGCACGCTGCTTAGGCTGCCAAGGCATGCACTAAGGTTTGGATGCGAGGCGATAACCAAGATATTTTCAGTGTACACTTCATTACAATCGCATCCCCCTTGTATTGAACACACACCCAGAAACCATCGGTTGATGTAAGGGATGAAATCACATATGACAGCATACAATGGATCAATGGGGTGTGTTTAATATGAAGGGAATGGGATTACGATGGATTACGATGGATTGCGTGTCATGTCCAAAAGTGCAAGTCTTGACAGGTTCACGTCGTCACCCGTGATGCCGATGAAAAGTGGTTTTCGTGGCTGCGGCGGAGAGTTGCTACAATCTCAAGGCCATATGCCCTAATCTCCTCCGACAGGGATATTTTGGAGGTATGATGATGAGAATTTTCAACAGCTTTGACCCATAGCATGTGTGAGCTATGGATAAAGATGTCAGTTCCTAGACCCACGCTTCACGTTTAGGAAACCCACTGTTCAGCCGCAGATTTCATAATACTTGGTCTCAATCATATGAAGAAATATGGCTGTGTCTGAAAATGGGGCGTATATCCGCAAAATGGTGGTGATTCAATAGAGAAGTTGATGATCAACCAGTTGAGGAGTTCCTATGTTTTGAATCCGGTTGAGCACCAAGAAGTTTCTTCTCAGAGAACAGGTTCAGTTCCACGTTGCGTGGGCGAAACATGGCCCAGCTTGCCCAGAATGGACACTTAGATTGTGTCCAAAAATGGGGTTCACATTCTCTTGTTGGAAGTGTTGTCTGTCCTTTGGAAACTGGAAAGCAGTACAGAACACGATCTTTCCACATAGATTGCACATCTAAGACTGTGTTACAAGAATGGGTGAAGTGATGACAGGGGAGAAGCTGGGGCTCTGGCCTGCACAGCCATGACCGGAGCTCTTCCAATTCATCGCGAATTCTTTAACCACGATGCAGCCAACGTCCGCATGCTGCTTAGGCTGCCAAGGCATGCACTAAGGTTTGGATGCGAGGCGATAATCAAGATATTTTCAGTGTACACTTCATTACAATCGCATCCCCCTTGTATTGAACACACACCCAGAAACCATCGGTTGATGTAAGGGATGAAATCACATATGACAGCATACAATGGATCAATGGGGTGTGTTTAATATGAAGGGAATGGGATTACGATGGATTACGATGGATTGCGTGTCATGTCCAACAGTTTAAGTCTTGACAGGTTCGCGTCGTCACCCGTGATGCCGATGAAAAGTGGTTTTCGTGGCTGCGGCGCAGAGCTGCTACAATCTCAAGGCCATATGCCCTAATCTCCTCCGACAGGGATATTTTGGAGGTATGATGATGAGAATTTTCAACAGCTTTGACCCATAGCATGTGTGAGCTATGGATAAAGATGTCAGTTCCTAGACCCACGCTTCACGTTTAGGAAACCCACTGTTCAGCCGCAGATTTCAGAATACTTGGTCTCAATCATATGAAGAAATATGGCTGTGTCTGAAAATGGGGCGTATATCCGCAAAATGGTGGTGATTCAATAGAGAAGTTGATGATCAACCAGTTGAGGAGTTCCTATGTTTTGAATTCGGTTGAGCACCAAGAAGTTTCTTCTCAGAGAACAGGTTCAGTTCCACGTTGCGTGGGCGAAACATGGCCCAGTTTGCCCAGAATGGACACTTAGGTTATGTCCAAAAATGGGGTTCACATTCTCTTGTTGGAAGTGTTGTCTGTCCTTTGGAAACTGGAAAGCAGTACAGAACACGATCTTTCCACATAGATTGCACATCTAAGACTGTGTTGCAAGAATGGGTGAAGTGATGACAGGGGAGAAGCTGGGGCTCTAGCCTCCACAGCCATGACCGGAGCTCTTCCAATTCACCGCGAATTCTTTAACCACGATGCGGCCAACGTCCGCATGCTGCTTAGGCTGCCAAGGCATGCACTAAGGTTTGGATGCGAGGCGATAACCAAGATATTTTCAGTGTACACTTCATTACAATCGCATCCCCCTTGTATTGAACACACCCCCAGAAACCATCGGTTGATGTAAGGGATGAAATCACATATGACAGCATACAATGGATCAATGGGGTGTGTTTAATATGAAGGGAATGGGATTACGATGGATTACGATGGATTGCGTGTCATGTCCAACAGTGCAAGTCTTGACCGGTTCACGTCGTCACCCGTGATGCCGATGAAAAGTGGTGTTCGTGGCTGCGGCGGAGAGTTGCTAAAGTCTCAAGGTCATATGCCCTAATCTCCTCCGACAGGTATATTTTGGAGGTATGATGATGAGAATTTTCAACAGCTTTGACCCATAGTATGTGTGAGCTATGGATAAAGATGTCAGTTCCTAGACCCACGCTTCACGTTTAGGAAACCCACTGTTCAGCCGCAGATTGAAATATGGCTGTGTCTGAAAATGGGGTGTATATCCGCAAAATGGTGGTGATTCAATAGAGAAGTTGATGATCAGCCAGTTGAGGAGTCCTATGTTTTGAATTCGGTTGAGCACCAAGAAGTTTCTTCTCAGAGAACAGGTTCAGTTCCACGTTGCGTGGGCGAAACATGAGCCAGTTTGCCCAGAATGGACATTTAGGGTGTGTCCAAAATGCGGTCCCCCAATTCCAATGGATGATCACCCGTTGTTCCCAGCAAAATGGCCACAACTTGGTGTATTTCCCAGTTTCCCCAGTAGATTGGACAAACCAACTTCCACCAAAGCAATGATCCCAAATGGTTTCCATATCTTTGGCGAGGGAAGGGAAGGTGTCGGAAAGGATGTGTCCACATCAACATCTAATGAACATACACCATCCATCATCAATCATCATCACATATCATCATGTTGTTTTTGCACCTTTTTGCGAAGTTAATCCTGAAGTCTTCCT